CCGTGGCTCCTCTGGCCCTGCTCCAAGAGGCGGGTGAAGGTTCACCTTTGGGTGATCCCAGAATATTTCATTTCATCATTGGTTTGTCCAGGGAGAACCCACTTGCGCAGGGCTCCCCAGCATCACTCCTCTCCGCTCTCCACCCAGGAGCAGCGGGAGCTCCTCCAGTCCCTGCGCCAAACCGCCTTCGAGTCGGAGAGCGAGGCGCCCGCCAGCACCTTCAACCTTCAGCACTGAGCGCCGCCGATCGCTGTGCGCCAAGGAGTTCCGCAAGCTGGGCTTCATGGTGCGTCCCCCTGCGTCCCTCCCCAGCCCCAGCTCCGCTGCCAGCCTTGGTGGCACGTTCCGGTGGCTCCCCTGAGCCCCGTGTCCCTGTTGGTGCTGGTGGGCCCCCAGCAGCCCCTCCCTCCTGCTCCCTCGGCACTGCTCAACAGCAGCGGCGGGGCTGCCGGGACTCAGGAGGAAACCCCAAGGCTGTGTCAGGAGGCCTCTGCTGCCCAGAGGAGAAAGGAGCAGTTGCTAAATGGCATCCTTTCCTGTCCCAGAACAACAGCAACCCAGCGGAGGACCTCCGCCGTGCCCCGCCGGGACTCCTCGCCCTCGACAACATGGTGTATTTCTCCAGGCACACCCCAAGCGCCTACAGCAGGGTGAGTGCTCTCTCCTGGAGAGCTCCCTCCCAGAGTGGTGCTGCTGGATCCCCACCTTCCTTTCCTGTCCTTGGGACCCATCCTTGGCCAAAGCCCGGCCAGGATGTCCCTTTGGGGCAGGTGTCCTGCTGTTGCCCTGTTTCAGATGTGAGCCAGGTCCTCCCTGGGGGCGGGAGCAGCCTTTTGAGGCCGGTGGCACTGAGGGATCCCCGCAATTGTCAGTGTGTTGCCCACAGCTTGGGTTCCAGGCTTTGTTCCCGTCTGAGCAAACCGGGGTGATCTGGGCAACCCCAGGCAGCGGCTGCAGAGCGTTCACCTCGCTCCGCCCTGCTGTGCCTCCATCAGCTTCTGCAACTGGGCCTGGTTTCTGGGGAGACCTCGCTACTTCTGATGGGGATGGCTTCCCCTGGGGGGGACAGCTCGGCTAGGGAGCTCAGAGGGAGCTGGGGCAAGCCTCCGAGCCCGTGGAACACAAGGCAACGACCCTTCTCTCCTCCAGTTTGTCCTGGAGAACAGCAGCCGGGAAGACAAACACGAATGCCCCTTCGCTCGAAGCAGCATCCAGCTCACCCTGATCATCTGCGAGATCCTGCACGTCGGAGAGCCGTGTACGTGTGTGCCCAGCCTGTCCTTCCCCTTGCCCTGCTGCCTGCCGACCAGCAGGAGTGGGGACAAGCTGCCAGGGCAGGGGGCTGCGGCCCTGGGGCCACCAGGCTCTGGCATGGCCGACAGCAGGGGAAGGGGAGGCAGGGCTGGGAAATGTCCAGGTTCTTCTGGATACTGAAATCCCCTGGAAAAACTGGGGAGGCTGGCATCATCTGTCCTTCTCACCGCAGGCTCGGAGACGGCTCAGTCCTTTTACCCTATGTTCTTCGGGCAGGACCATTTCTTTGAAGAGCTCTTCTGCATCTGCATCCAGCTGGTGAACAAGACCTGGAAGGAGATGCGCGCTACCCAGGAGGACTTTGACAAGGTGCGAGGGGATGCTGGGGCCCTGATGGGAGCTTGGGCCACGGGCTGTGCGCAAATTCAGGGCCTCTGAGGAGTGCCACCAGACTGGGGGTGACATCCTGGGCCCCGCAGGTGCTGCAGGTGGTGCGGGAGCAGATCACCAGGACCCTGTCCCTCAAACCCACCTCCCTGGAGTTATTCAAGACCAGAGTGAATGCTCTGAACTACGGTGAGATCCTGAAGCTGCGGCAGACGGAGCGGCTGCACCAGGAGGAGACGCTGGCTGTGCCCGTGCTGTGAGTGTGCCACGGGCCGCGAGCTGGAGCTGCGACGTGGGGGGATGCCATGGGGCTGGGGGAGGTCAGCTAACGTGGCTGTGCTGCTCTTCCACTGGCTTTCACCCCAGGGAAC